TTCAAATAGTATTAGCTGCCAAGGAATCTGAGAGTTTCTCCCAGTAAAAGAATGAGTTCACAGTTGAGAACTCAATAAAGAACAGATGGAAGAAGGAAGGCAAGAAATTCCATACAGAAACCTCTGATAACTTTCTTAAGGGTATCCATTTACATCCAGCGAGGCCACAGTTCCTATCACTTCATGATCTAGAATCTGGGATCACATATCCGTAAGAAGCAAGATGGTTCAAGTTTTGCACGTAAATATAATGTTATCTACAAACTTGGAGATCAGCTGCATAGCCTGGAAAGTACACATAATACCCCCAATACATGAGCCAGAAAGATCGAGGTGTGGACATAATCTGTCAACAGAACTATAAAAGGTATGCAAAGTTGAAGAGAGAACATCACTGATACAGTAAACCTTTGGCATTCTGCAACAGTCTAGAGTTCCTACTGTGTTCCTGGGACAGTGAGGTTTCATGATGTAAAACAGCTTTTTGTTGTGGCACTCATTTAAAGTATATTTGTTGGAAGATACAGTGCAGAGGCCACAGAACAACCAGTAAGTAACACAAGCAATTCAAATCCACTTGTTGATGAGGTTATATTATTCCCTAGCTCACCCAAATTTTTTATATATTAATTTTGTGAAGTTTAAAAAAAAAAAAAGGAGCTTCTCTTACAGGAGGAGTTAAGTCAGTCAACACCCATTGCTCCTTGTGACAGAAGTAGAGAAATCTCTAGGTTAGGATAAAAGATAATGACACAGTGATTTCGGCAATCAATTAGATATTTTCATAACAGATTTACGTGGACATTAAGAGTTTTCATGCAAATTACCTTAGCCTGTGTGTGCACTCCCAAACAATACTCTACTTATTGAAAGTGAAATTAAGCTTTAGTGGAAGTTTTAAAGGCAATAGAGCAAGGATATGCAAATACTCTATGGAAATAAATTAATGAAGAAAAACAGGAGCCACTAAAAAATTTCCATATTCACCTTGGAGTTGTTCCTAGCAAATGTCAAAGAGCCTCATGTGTAAAATTCCACTGAGGGAAGAGATTCACTGCCAAATGGTATGGATATGTTAGAAATCCAGATTAAAATGGGGTCGAGGTAATGCGCTTGCACTGTAATTCTTTCATTCTTCAATTATGTGCATATGAAGTTCACATATGGTTACTTGCTTATTTAGGGGAGGATGACACAAGCCAAGCGATGCAACATCTATTGTCTGACAGATTCCAGGTAGATCGGGAAAAGCTCTGAAAAATCAGACTTTACACTGCTAACTTATATTATGACCTCCCTTTTTTGTATAATCGTAATATCAAAATATTCTGAGCAACTTTCAGCTTACAACTGGATTGCCTCAGCTGCATAAGGCCTGTCTGCCCTGACAAGCAAGCACTGCACCAGGGTGAAAAAGTCCTCTGA